GGGTGGGTGGGTGGGGGGCGGCGGCCGCTGGGCCGAGTCGGGCTGCAGCGCTGGCACCCGCCTCGCCCGGGGACCGCCCAGGTCCGCCCCAGGCCCGCCCCGCGCGCTGACCAGCTCGGCCCATTGGCTCCTGGTGCGCGCTGGGCCGCCCCGCGGGCAGGCCCGCCCCATGCGCTGGGCTACCTTGCGCATTGGCCGAGCGGCCAGGAGGGAGGGTCCGGCGGCTGCGCACTTCCGGCCGGTGGCAGGGCCGCTTCACATCGCCTTTTCCGCCGCCACCCCCGCGATCCCGGCTCCACTCCCAGTCGCAGCGCCGATCGCAGGTCGGTTCCGGCAGGCCAAGCGTCGCTTCGGAGCGCAGTGGCAGCTGACTGCGCGTTCTCGATCCCCTGGGACTCGACAGCTTCTCCGCCGTTATGAACATCCGCAATGCGAGGGTGAGGGGCCGGGACGGGAGGCTGTCTGCGCCGCGTGGGCGCCGGGCTGGGTGGCCGCGTGCGCATGCTCCCGAGGGGTCCAGTTGAGCCCAGCCGGTGGCCCTGCGCGCCTGCGGCCACTGTGCCTGTGAAAGTGCGGCAGCCCGAGGAATAGTGCGGGGGAGCCGGAGGGCGCGGATCCCCCTGTTCGAAGATGTCGGGGCGCTCACTGGTGAAACAGTTTTGCACAGCGGCCGTGTGCCGGGCCTTGTGCAAAGTCAGATGTTTCCAGCGCCTGCCTAGCCCAGAGGGATGGAGGTGGAGTCGGCAGCCGGGAAGCAGCGTGGTGAGGCCTACTTAGTCGCTGCAACCCGGGACTGAGCGCACTCCGCTGCCCTGTTCCCCTGCAGCCCGAGGACCTGATGAACATGCAGCACTGTAACCTCCTCTGCCTGCCCGAGAACTACCAGATGAAATACTACTTCTACCATGGCCTCTCTTGGCCCCAGGTGGGCAGCGGTTGAGTTCGGGAGCCGGGGAGTCGAGGTGGAGGGCAACACAGCCCGAGTGGGAGCTCTGGGAGGCCAGGGAGGCTGCACGGGCAGGTGAGGGCAGCAGGGCCGAAGGAGAGGAGGCGCCTGAAGGGAGCCGGAGGTAGGAGTGGGATCCCCAGCCGGCAGAGGGGAAACGGGGCTGCGGGGAGGACCCGAGCTGTCAGAGCGCTCCCGGCGTGGCCGCCCTCGGCCGCCCTCTGCCTCCCGAAGGCAGCGGGGCCGGCCTTGCTGTCTGACTTCCTTTTTCTCTGTCGCCAGCTCTCCTACATCGCTGAGGATGAGAATGGGAAGATTGTGGGATACGTCTTGGCCAAAATGTGAGTCACCAAGCAGGAAGAGAGAGACATGGGCTGGGGCTGTGCCCTGGACGGCTTGGCAGTCAACAGCACATCTGGCCGCAGATGCTGCTGGGGGTTCCTGAAGTGTTAGCTACTAGGCTTTCTCTTCTAGTGCAGTTAAAGTTCACCGACAGACTGAGCCCAAGGCAACTCCCCGCTGCTCCCCGCCCCACCAGAGTCCTGTACTATTAACATGTCTTCTGTAGGGTAATTTTTTTAAAAAAGATTTATTTATTTATTTGAAATCAGAGTTGGAGAGAGAGAAAGGGGGGGGGGAGAGGTAGGTAGGTAGGTCTTCTGTCCTCTGGTTCACTCCCCAGTTGGCCTAACAGCAGGAGCTGCGCTGATCCCAAGCCAGGAGCCAGGAGCTTCCGGGTCTCCCACGCAGGTGCAGGGGCGCAAGGACTTGGGCCAGCTTCTACTGCTTTCCCAGGCCACAGCAGAGAGCTGGGTCGAACATAGCAGAGACCTGGAGCAGCTGGGACTCAAAGCGGCGCCCATTTGGATGCCGGCCCCTGTAGGGTACTTTGTTAACACATGATCACCTAACACTGATACAACATTGCTAACTGCACAGGTTTTCAGTCTCTGATTCCCACAAGGGCTGGGTGTTGGCTGTTACAGTATCACACAGAATCCTCCTCCCCCCAACCCTCAGCAGGTGCTCTCTGCCGAGTGGTGCCTCACAAGGCTGTACACCGTGCCCAACTATGTAACAGTCTGAGACTGGCTTTTCATCCTGTTGGCACTGTGTGTATCTGGTGGGCGCTGGGGGGCTTTGAAGCAGTGGGGGCTCGGGGGAGGTTCCAGCTCTCCCCCATCACAGGTCTGGGGACGCTGGGGGGCCACCCTCACACCCACTATAAATGGATTCGGGGCAGCTGTGTGTGCAGCAGCCCCTTTCTAGCGGCTCTCTTTTCTCCTGTAGGGAAGAGGACCCAGATGATGTGCCACACGGACATATCACCTCACTGGTGCGTAGCCCCGCCCCAGGCTTGGGGGGGCAGGGCTTAGTGGGAGCAGCCCCCAAGGTCCCAGCCCCTGTCCTCCTCCTCTCACCAGGCGGTGAAACGTTCCCACCGGCGCCTCGGCCTGGCTCAGAAGCTGATGGACCAGGCCTCTCGGGCCATGATCGAGAACTTCAACGCCAAATACGTCTCTCTGCATGTCAGGAAGAGGTGGATGCGGGGTGGGGGAGCGAGCGCGCCGGCAAGGGGGTCCCGGGGAGCCTTGGCTTTTGGAGAAGACTGGGGAAGCGCGCTGAGCGGGAAGGAGGGACCCGGGAGAGGGGTGGGACGTGGACATGCTGTCCCGACCCGGCCGAGTCTGTGCAGCTCAGCAGTGCCTTGTTCCCCTGCAGTAACCGGGCCGCCCTGCACCTCTATTCCAACACCCTCAACTTTCAGTAAGTACGCCCATTACCCTGGCTGCCTGCGGCGCCTTCGCGGTTGCTGGCAGAGAGGCTGGTGTGCAGAGGGCACTTGCCTGCGGCAGCCAGCTCCCTACGCGTGCTGGGGTGGGGGAGGCCGGCGCAGGCAGTGAGACTCGCAGGCAGGAGGCTATGTAGTGGGTTTCGGAGTCGCCCTGTGCCCAGCGTAGGAGACAGGGAGCTGGGCACACTCAGCTTCCCGTCTGGGGGCGGGGGTGGAGAGGAGACACTCTTCAGCACCCAGCTGCAGGCAGGGACCTTCGGCCCGGAGAAGGCCCCTAGTTGGAACTGCATCGCGGCTGAGTCAGCAGCTCCCACGTCCAGGCCATCAAGTCCGCTGCCCTGCCCGGGGCCGGGCCACCTCTCAGCGCCAGTGAGTGCCCAGGAGCAGGGAGAGGAAGCCAGCTCAGGACTTCTGCTAACAAAGACAGCACAGAAACATCCTTGGTGGCCAGGCGAGGGCAGCGCGCGGCAGGCCCCCAGGGCCGGGAAGGCCTCGGGTGCTGCTTCCTGCCAGGCTGGAGAGAGGCGAGGGAAAGCTGTGTTGGCAACAGGGCCTCCCGCAAAGGCTTCTTGTGGGCTGGCCTTCTGGGGAGGAGGACTCTGGGAAGGAGGAGGACTTGCCCCACCATCGGGTCTTCCTCTGCCCCCAGGATCAGTGAAGTAGAGCCCAAGTACTACGCAGACGGGGAAGACGCGTACGCGATGAAGCGGGACCTGACTCACATGGCCGAGGAGGTGAGTCCGGCCGCGGGGGCGGGACAGCAGGCAGCCCCCGGCGCGGGGACGGACCACCAGCTGCGCGCCTGGGAGTCCTGGTCCCTGTGCCCTTGGCTTCCTACCCTGTCAAGTGGGGAGGTGCTGTCTGGGATGGAAGTAGGACCACCCAGGGATGGCTGTGCCTGGGGCCCGCTGTGGCCTCTGCGTAAACTCGGGGTCCTAACTGTGGCTCCTCAGGGGGACTTTCCACGGCATGATCAGCCTGCTCTTACTGAGAGAGGCCGGGCCGGGCCCCACCCAGTCCTGGAGGCTTAGGGTCTCTCTCCTCCATGTCCCCCGGCTCACGGCGGCAGCTGAGGCGGCACCTGGAGCTGAAGGACAAGGGCCGGCACGTGGTGCTGGGCGCCATCGAGAACAAGGTGGAGAACAAAGGCGGTTCGCTTCCGAGCTCGGGAGAGGCCTGTCGCGAGGAGAAGGGCCTGGCGGCTGAAGACAGCGGTGGGGACAGCAAGGACCTCAGCGAGGTCAGTGAGACCACCGAGAGCACCGACGTCAAGGACAGCTCGGAGGCCTCTGACTCGGCTTCCTAGAGCCTGCCCTGGCCCGCCGTCCTGCCCGGAGCTCTCCAAATAAACTTCACCCCGTGGTCCTGGGGAATCTGTGTGTGTGTGTGTGTGTGTGTGTGTGGGAGAGAGGGAGAGAAAGAACCTGAGCGAGAAGGAGAGTGCTTGAGCATGTTCGGGGGCACATGCCTCCTTGAGTGCCTTTGGGTGTGCAGCAGCCTACCAAGTAGAATGGAAGAGCTGTCGGGCCTTCGGAGGTGAGACTGCTAAGTCTGATGGCTTTCAGCAGCTTTGGGCCTGGGAAAGGGGGCCCTGGACTTCTGGGAGAGACCTCGTTAATGTTCCAGCCTGAGCTAGGAACCCAGGCCAGAATGGAGGGACTCGCCTGGGTAGCCGCTGTCAAACCTTGGCTTGCTTCGCCGCCTCTGCTTGGTCGTCATCTTAAGGGTTAAGGTCCCCATGATGCCTTCTGAAGCTATTCCTGAACCTGGGCCCTCATTTGAGAATAACTCACAGGCTATGTTTAGTACAGACTAGCCTCTCCAGCCCTTCCGTTTCCCCTCATTCACATTTTGGGTCCTGCCAAGTGCAGGTTTACATTCGGGTTCCCCCTGGATTGACGAGTCCCATAGGCTTTGACAAATGCATACACTCACGTACTCGCCATTAGAGCTGCACGCACAATGTAAACTTGCTGCTCCTTGCTGCCGGAGGGGCTCCTCTGGCCGCCTGCCTCCCAGCGGAGCCGGCACTCCGGAGCTGTCACTATACCTCACGCCCCAGCTACAGCAGGTGGCACGCTGCCCCCCTGCTAGGTTGAATAATTCGCCACCCGATCCCATAGCTAGATTCTTTGGCCCGTACCTGACACGTGACCAACAACAGGCCGCGCAGAAAGCTGAAACTAGCGCGAGGGCGGGGGCAGACAGATCAGCTGCGCCTGCGCAAAGCCGCCGCTGGAGGAGGCTTTGTTCTGATTGGTTCAAGCCGCGGACTTCCCTTTGTATGGTTCGGAGGCGGGAGCCGGTCCCGCCCTCAGCGTCCGGAGTCAGTCGCTTCCGGTTCGCAGACCGAGACGGGCAGCGTTCCCAGGCTCCGGTTGGTTCGGCGGCGGCGGGGCGGGTGCGCATGCGCGCTGCGTCGGCCGCGCCCCGGCGCTGAGGGAAGCGAGCTCGCGCAGGCTCCCACGGCGTCCTGCAGAGGTCCCTGTGCTAAGCCGGGGCTCTCACGGGCTCCGCACACCCAGTGCTTTCACTGCCCTGCGTCCCGTGCTGTCCGTTGGGGCTCGGTCTCCGCTTTCATCCCGAAGCGGTTGGGTTTCCCGGGAGGAGGTGGGAGCTGCGGAGGCCCTGGGGGGCAGGGGAAAAGGCAAGCCGCCGGCCAGACCTGACCGGCCTTGGGGCCCCGCCGCCTTCGCTGCCTGTGCAGCACCCGCCTCCTGGCCGATGAGCTGAGGGGGGCAGACGAGCTCCGCCCCCCCCCCCCCCCGCTCCGGAACCGCCTCTCCGTGCGCGTGGTGTGAGTCCCAGAGACTGAAGCAGCCGTGACCCCTGAAGTCCCCAGTTCCAGGAAACGTGCTTTGTAGGAGGGTCGGGAGCAGCCGCACGCAGTCGGTGTCTGGGACCCTCTCCCTGACAGGCTCTCCTGTAGTCTCCCACGTGCGTGTGCCAGCAGCCTCACCGCTGGCCTCGTCTTCCGCTGGTCCACGCCAGCCCTGGGATGACTGCTCAGCTGCATGGGTTCTGCAGCCCTGGCCCTACCTCGGCGGCTCTGGCTTTTCGGTTAGTTGCATGATCGCAAGACGAGGAGGCTGTTTCCATTCAAGCCCATCTGCCGAACAGGAGTGAAGCGCAGGGCTAGGCCCCCAAGGGTTTAAAGCAGCAGCTGCATGAGGCAGGGTGAGGGTGTCTGTGGACTCAAAAGGACTCAAGAGCCCGTTTGGAAGCTCAGACCAGTTCAGCAGCCGTTTCCTGTGGCTCGGATGGATGGACAAGGGGTCTTTTGTGCACTGGGCAGGCTCCGATGGAAGGTTAGGGGTCAGGCACAGCGTGCTGAGGCGGCCGTGGCACATATGAGCCTCTCCTGATGCTGGAGCGGGCCTGCGTGCGGGTGCACATGGACGTTTGCGGCCTAACGTGCACGCTTGCCTGCCTTGCTGGAGGACCCCAACATTGGCACTTCTTTTTCTTTTAAGATTGATTTATGGGGCTGGCACTGTGGTGTAGAGGGTAAAGCTGCTGCCTGCAGTGCCTGCTGGAGTCTCGGCTGCTCCTCTTCCGATCCAGCTCTCTGCTATGGCCTGGGAAAGCTGTGGAAGATGGCCCAAGTCCTTGGGCCCCTGCACCCACGTGGGAGACCCGGAAGAAGCTCCTGGCTCTTGGCTCTGGATCAGCACAGCTCCGGCCATTGCAGCCAATTGGGCAGTGAACCAGTGGATAGAAGACCTCTCTCTCTCTCTCTCTCTCTCTCTGCCTCTCCTTCTCTCTTTATGTAATTCTTTCAAATAAATAAATCTTTATAAAAATAGATTTATTTATTTATTTGAAAGGCAGAGTTACAGAGGCAGAGAGAGAGAGAGGTCTTCCATCTACAGGTTCACTCTCCAGATGGCCTCAACAGCCAGATCTGGCCCGAACTGAAGCCAGGAGCCAGGAGTTTCCTCCGGGTCTCCCACGTGGGTGCAGGGGCACAAGCACTTGGGCCATCTTCCACTGCTTTCCCAGGCCATAGCAGAGAGCTGGATCAGAAGTGGAGCAGCCGGGACTAGAACTGGCACCCATATGGGATGCCGCACTGCCAGTGGCGGCTTGACCCGCTACGCCACAGTCCCAGCCCCAGCACTTCTTTTTAAGAAATAAATTATTCACTGGCGCCGCCGTAGCTCACTAGGCTAATCCTCTGCCTGCGGCGCCGGCACCTCGGGTTCTAGTCCCGGTTGGGGCGCCAGATTCTGTCCAGGTTGCTCCTCTTCCAGTCCAGCTCTCTGCTGTGGCCCGGGAAGGCAGTGGAGGATGGCCCAAGTGCTTGGGCCCTGCACCCCATGGGAGACCGGGAGAAGCACCTGGCTCCTGCCTTCGGATCAGCGTGGTGCGCCAGCCGCAGCAGCCATTGGGGGGTGAACCAATGGCAAAGGAAGACCTTTCTCTCTGTCTCTCACTGTCCACTCTGCCTGTCAGAAAAAAAAAAAAGAAATTATTTTCATTTTGTTTGAAAGGCAGAGACGCACAGAGAGAGGTATCTTCCATCTGCTGGTTCACTCCGCAAGTGTCCACAACAGCCTGCACTGGGCCTGGCCAAAGCCAGAAGCCTGGAGCTCCATCTGGGTCTCTCCCATGGGTGCAGGGACTCATCTCCTCGAGCCATCACCTGCTGCCTCCCAGGGTGCACATGAGCAGGGAGATCCAGGCACTGTGCTACTGGGCGCAGGCATCTAAACCGCTGAGCCGAACGCCTGCCCCAACACTGCTACATCTGACACCAGTTGCTGGAAGTCCAAGTCCTGGACGCCTGCAGGACTCCCAGGCTTTGCAGCTCAAAGCTCTGTGGACACATGGCAGTGGTGCAGAGACGGGCCTCAGGACTGGGGCTGGGAGGACAGGCAGCCGTGGGGGTGTGTCTTCTTCAGGCAAGAGGATTAGTGGCTGACAGCGCAAGGCGGCAGGTACTTGTACAGCCTTCCTGATGCCCACACCTGGAGCTCAGCAGCATCTGGTGCTGCGGGCCTGCCTCCCTGGGCACCGTCTGAAATTACAGGGCTTCCTCCATCAGACTGAAGACGGTTGTCTAGTGTGGCTTGTCACCCACCACCTACCTTCATCTCTCCAGTTGACTGGAGAAAAGCTGTTGCCCTGTGGCTTCCAGTTGGCGGACAGCGTTGAAAGGCAACCCCACTGGATGAGGGCGGCCCTAGGAGTTGCCCCAGGCTAGCTGAGACGGCGCTGAGGGGACTACCCCCCACCCAGGCCTAGGACAGGGCAGGTGCAAGCTGCAGGGGCAAGGAGCTCCAAGAGCCTCTTCCGGCAGCAGGAAGTGGTAACCACCTATGAGGAAATGAGGCTTGTTCCTCCCTATAGGGTAGAACAGAAGGGGAACCATAGCTGAACCCCGCTCCCTCCCCCGCCCCAGGGCCTGGAGGGAAAGAAGGGGGGGCATTCCCACTCCAGCTCTCCAGGTTGCTTAGGACTCTCAGGGCTGTGGCCTGGGAACAGAGGGCCCCATCTGGTGTCCTGGGAGGCTGGGAAAATGCGCTGGGGGTGGGGTGTGTCCGGTGTGCACTGGAGGTAATGGGGGGACGCCAGCAGGGCGGCCAACTGGGGCTCTCCCTCTGTTCCTGAGCTCTTGGCGGCTGGGCTGGGGCCACAGGCAGCCCAGGTGCCGGCGCAGGGGGCGGGGCAATAAGGCCGGGAGTAGTGGGTTTGAGAGGGGCAGTACCAGGCCCGGACCGCCCCGCCCCGTCCCGTTGGGGGCCTCGCTGGGGGCGGGGCGGCGCGGGGCGGAGCCGTGCAGGGTGCTGGTCGCAGCGCCCCAGGTCCCAGCGCCCGGCCTGCTCGTGGCCGCGTGGGAGCAGCGGGGCTCGACGGCACTGCCGCCTGGCCCTCATGGCCGCACACGGAAAGCTGCGGCGGGAGCGGGGGCTGCAGGCCGAGTATGAGACGCAAATCAAAGGTGAGAGGGCGCCGGGTGCTCCTGACCTGGTTCTCTGCGGAGACCCCAGAGGTCGTGGGGGAGTCGGAAGCGGCTCGCCCGCTCAGCCTTCGGACGCTGCTCTTTGCCAGCGACCTGTGGAGGTGGGTGGAGGAAGGAGCCCGAAGCCCCTGCTGGCTTCCTGGCGCCCGCGAGTCCCCCTTCCTCCCTGCCCCGTCTCTGCGCTCCTTGGGTCTCCCTCTTCCTCGCTTGATCGCTTTGACTTTGCTGGGGGGTGGCAGAGACATTCAGGGAGTGGAGGGAGCGGGCTGCTCATCCTCGCAGCACTGTAGTCCCCTCCCTGGGGCACCGAGGTGACTCAGGAGGGACAGCCACCGTCTCTGGGTCAAGCCGGTGTAGTGAGTCTGAGTCTTGGCTTGAGAGACTGAACAGGGTGGTGACTTGGCTGCAGCCTTCTGAAATGAGAGGGCTTTTGGCTCTGGTAAACACCCTTGTGCAAATCACATGCAAATGAGCTTCGCAAATCGTCGCTGGGAGCTTCTGCCAGTCTTATTCTGGGCCAGGGCACTCTTGCAAAGGAAAAGAGGCAGCATCTGAGGGCCCTGGTGCCTTCAGCCGCCTGTCCCCTTTGTCACTGTCACTCGCTCCGTTTTCCGGATTACGTTGTCCAGAGCTCGCTTGAGGTGGCTGCAGCTCTCCAAACACCACGAAGCTGAAGCGCTTTGACAACTCTTGGATCAGCAAATACGGATCAGATAGTTGACCCTGCAATTTTGGAGTTTGGAGGAAGACTGTCTTCAGATGTCCGTTCCTCGCTTGCTCTGGCTCTCTGACATTCTTAGCTTGTTTCCCACCCGCCCCCTACTGCGCTAGGAAAACGGGGGACTGGCTCGACTCCCTAAATTCTGAAAGGTCAGCACAGTCGCGCTTTGGGAGGCCATCTTCTCGCTCGCTTCGCTTGTCAGCAGAAGTGAGAGCGAATGCCATGCTCACAGGAAGTGTGCTGGGGCCTCAGGCCCAGCTCTGCAAGTCAAGCACACGGGCTTCTCTGCTTCCTTTGGCCACATGTGTGTGTGCATGTGTTGTGTGTGACCCAGGCCCTGGGAACACACTGCGGAGCCAGGGGGACCCAGTCCCTGCCCTGAAATGACTCACGCGGGTCAAGGAAGGGTGCTCGGACCCTCTGCGACGAGGGTGTCCCTTAGTGCTGGAGGCAAGGCGGCAGTGAAGGAGAAACAGTGCCGTGGTCCGCCGCTCCACTCAGTTCCAGTCCCTAGTAATGCGTCCCCAGGGTTAGAACATGCGTGTGCCAGGAGCGCCGGGCAGGCTCCAGAGGGCGAAGCCCCCACATGCTCCTCTGACTCCGCGAAGACGTTCCTAGGTGAAATCCCTGGCGTCCGGGCCCACCCCACCTGGCCCGCAGCCCTAGGGGTCAGTCCCTGGAGGCCAGCCTTGGGTGGAACATGTGGCTCCTTCCGTGTCTTACCCTAGGTGTCCTGGGCTCTGCCCTGGCCCGAGTTCATTTCACCATAGGGAGGCGCTCCCAGCCGAGACTCGCATTTACCCAGCCTGGCCCCTCCGTGGAAAGACATGGCTCCTCTTCAGGAATTCCAGGAAAAGGCTTAGGATCGTGGTGCCTGGGCCCCTCACCGAGCTAGCCCACTGCGGGTGGAGGGGCCGAGGGCTGGGTGATGCATTCAGCCAGGTGTCGGGGGCCTGGAGTCAGCGCGAGAGGGCAACCCCACCGAAAGCTGGGGTGCTGAGAATAGAGGCGTCCTCCACCGGGAGACCCTGGGAAGTGCACTGCGGGGCCTGCGCTCCTGGGATGTCATCGGCAGGAGAGCCATCCAGTGGCGCTTAGCTGTTCGCGGTGGCTCCCTCAGTCTCAGTCTCTGCTGCGTTTGGCCTGCACTAGTTCAGTGGCTGCCACCTGGGCTCCGTGCAGCCCTGGAGATGAAGCCGGCTCACATGACCACACCTCTGTGGCTCCCATGTCACTTGGAATCCGTCACTGGGAAGCCTCCCCGCACCATGGGCGTGAGGCCATCTGTCCTGCCCCTTCTTGGACTCCCCTCTACCGACCCCACTCCCACTATGCCTTGCGTGTCTGTCTTAGCTCCCAGTGCTCTTGGACATTCTGGTATATGCGTGCCCAGATGCCATCTGTCCTCCCATTTTGGTCCCAGCTCTGGGAGGGCAGGCACTGGGCCAGCCCTCTCCAACCCTGTGTCTCAAATGTGCCTGCCCCAGTGCCTGCAGCGGGTTGCTTAAGTCGCTCGCTCAAGCACTTCTTTGCTTTGGGTCTGTGTGGGTGGGTGGGGGGAAGCCGCGTTGCCAAATCGTGCGACCGATAAGGTGTCAGAAGGCCCATGGTGGTGTGGGGCCCTGGGTGTGGCTCTCCCCTTGGGGTGGGTGGGCGACCGGGAGCAGGAACTGGGGACCGGAGACACAGCCAGCCCCGCACCATCCGTTGACCTACCAGCGCCAATCAGCTCCTGCTGGCCCCCCCACCCCGCTCTCACCGCGGGGCTGCCTTTCCCTGGGGCTAAAGGGCAGCACTCCTGGCCACTGAGGTCGTGAGTTCAGCGCGGGCTGTGCGCCAGGCTCCTGGGAGCCCAGGGGGAAGGAAGTGGCAGGGGAACCAGGGAGGGCCAAGAAGCCAAGCTGCAAGGCGCCCGGGGCGGCCCTGTGGTCCCCGGTCGTGCACAGCTCCGGGCGGGGCCTTTGCCCAGCTCTGCCCTCCGCCTTCCCCTGCCTCTTCGACCAGGAGGGTCTGGCCATTGTCCTTCAGCCTGGCCATTGTCCTTGAGCCCCAGCCCCAGGGACACTTCCCCAGGAGCCTTCTCTGAGCCCAGACCTGTCTCGCCCCAGCCCTTAGCTGGGGCCAGGCACGGGGAGCCTGGGCGCGGGCAGGCAGGGGTCCGCGCGTCCCTGCCCCTCCCACCCTGCGCTGGCGTTGCTGGCCTGGGCCACTGAGCCAGCGCAGGCCTGAGCCCGTGCTCCTCCGCAGAGATGCGCGGGCAGCTGGGCGAGCAGCTGCGCTGCCTGGAGCTGCAGGGCGAGCTTCGGCGGGAGCTGCTGCAGGAGCTAGCCGAGTTCATGCGTCGCCGCGCCGAGGTGGAGCTCGAGTACTCCCGGGGCCTGGAGAAGTTGGCAGAGCGCTTCTCCAGCCGCGGGGGCCGCCTCGGGGGCAGCAGCCGGGAGCACCAAAGCTTCCGGTAGGTAGCGCAGCGGGCCCCAGTGCGTGGCCCCGGGGCCCGAAGCTCCCGTGGCCTGGCCTGAGTGCCCCTCTGCTCCCAGGAAGGAGCCTTCCCTCTTGTCACCCTTGCATTGCTGGGCCGTGTTGCTGCAGCACACGCGGCAGCAGAGCCGGGAGAGCGCAGCCCTCAGCGAGGCATTAGCGGGGCCCTCGGCCCAGCGCCTGAGCCACATCGCGGAGGACGTGGGACGCCTCGTGCGGAAGGTAGGGCTCTTGTCCTGGGCTGTGGGAGTGCTGGGAAGCCTTGGCATCTAGTGAGGGCAGCTGATGGGGGCTCAGGCTGTGGGCGCTGCAGCTCGGAGGGCACGGGAGGGAGGCCAGGCAGGCGTCGAGTGGAGCGCACCTGCCTGGCCCGAGACGGCCCAGCGCGGAGGTCGGCAGGCACCCCAGGCGGCGGCCGCTGTGCTGCTCACACTCCCGTCTGCCTCTAGAGTAAGGACCTGGTGCAGCAGCTGCAGGAGGAGCTCCTGGAGGTGGTGTCAGAGCTGCAGACGGTGAGGACTGGCCAGGGAGCAGGGCTGCCCCCAGGACCCCGTGGAGCAGCACCAATCAGAGCAGGGCAAGAACACTCCGCACCATCTCATTCCCCCACCTTGGGCTCCGGGGGAGACCATGGTGTAGGGGACCTGCTGTGGCCACACGGCTGTTACGCTAAGCTCTCGCGTGGGGTCGTGTGGGTGCCAGGTCCCAGTGCCACATGGGCCGGGAGTTGGGGGAGGGGGCGAGGGCTGGCTGCGGTCCTGGCCTTCAGCAGAGCTGCCTGGCCTTGGCCTCTTTGCAGGCCAAGAAGACCTATCACGCGTATCACGTGGAGAGCGTGAACGCCGAGGCCAAGCTCCGAGAAGCTGAGCGACAAGAGGAGAAGCGGGCAGGGCGCAGTGCCCCTGCTGCCCCTGCTGCCCCCGCTGCCGCCGCCACTGAGGCAGGGCCCCTCCGCAGGAGCTCCGTGAAGAAGGGTGGGCGGCTGGTGGAAAAGGTGGGCCTGCAGGGCTCCTGGCCCTTTGTCCCTGTCCTCAGCGCACCCTCCCCCCCTCGCCTACAGGGTGCACAGGAAGGGAGCAGAACCACAGACCTCCAGTAGGGGGCGGGCCTTGGCCTGCTCAGCGCTGCTGCCTCTAGAGGGTTCTTCCAGCTAGGGACAGTAGTGGAGGACAGTGCCAATAGGCCTGAGACACAGAGCGGGAGGAGAGTCCTTGAGCCCAGGGCAGCCATTGTCATCGCCTCTCCCTTCTCCCAGAGCCTGCCTTTCCCTTGCTCAAGGACTGGCGCGTGGCCAGGCACGTGGCGGGCTGCTGGGGCCCGTCCCAGGGAGCCCAGGGCCGCTGGCTGGAGAGGGCGGAGGCGGGGCGGAGGCGGGGCGGAGGCTGAGCGCACCATGCTTGTGCACTTCGTTGTCCCGAGCAGCGCCACGCCAAGTTCTTGGAGCACAAACTCCAGTGCACAAAGGCACGGAATGAATACCTGCTGAGCCTGGCCAGCGTCAACGCTGCTGTCAGCAACTACTACCTGTGCGACATCTTGGACCTCATGGACGTGAGTCCTGGGTGGGTGGACAGCGGCCCGGGCGCCAGCGACCACAGGGCGTGCCGCAGCCACCGAGTGTCTCCTTGCCTCTCCGCAGTGCTGTGACACAGGCTTCCACTTGGCCCTGGGGCAGGCGCTCCGGAGCTACGTGGCTGCTGAGAGCCGCACCCAGGCCTCTCACATGCAGGGCCTGTGCAGCCTGGAAGAGGCCCTGGAGGCCCTGGATCCCCCAGGGGACAAGGCCAAGGTGCTTGAGGTGCATGCGACGGCCTTCTGCCCCCCGCTGCGTTTTGACTACCAGCCCCATGAGGGCGATGAGGTGAGGCACAGGGCAGAGGGCTTGACAGGGTCTGGTCTTCACTGGAGCCGACTCAGGGCGGGCTGCACAGGGGAATGCAAACCGCCGGGCGCAGCCCCCTGCTCCCAAGGTCTCGGGCCGGGTGGCTCCCTAGAGAGGTTGCTCCAGCTCCAAGGCACCATCAGCTCCTGTGTGTTTGAAAATTTTCCACTTGCAAATTTGGAAGGAAGTAAGCCCACATAAGCAGTATGAGGAAGCGACACCTTCGGCTCGGTCCCGGCATGTGTGGGCTGCCGTAGTGGCTGACTTGGGGCTTGAGTTACTTTCCCCTGAAGTCGGATGGCGGTGTTCCTGAGGGCTCACATGGGGCTGCCGTGGACTTTCGGGCCCAGACCCCACAGGCAGCCTCACACCGCCCTCTCGTTCTTTTTCGCCGTGCAATCACCTCCGACTTTGGGGACAAATGAACATCCCGCGTTGACGCTATGCTGACAGCAGAGCCTGGTCACGGCTGAGCCCTGTCCCGCCTTGGCCTAGGGCTCTGCGGCTGCCCTTGCCTGTGGCTCCCCCTTCGTGGGGCCCTCTCTCTCCTGGGTGCCACGTCTGCATTGTTTCTGCTTTCTTCCCCTCGCCTCGGTGGGCGCCTGCGCCAGTGGTGTCTGGACTTGGTGTATCTGGGGATGTCCCTACTCCCCGCCTGCCACTGACTGGTACTTGGGCCAGGCGTAGAATTCGGGCTGCAATCCGTTTCCCTGTAGGAGGTTACAGGTAGTCTGGGCGTCTCGTGTGACATCTTTCTCCCCAGAGCTTTTGTCCCTTGTTGGAAAGATTTTAGGAGGCTCTGCGCACAGCACCAGCTCACAGGCCCTGGCCCCGGCTTGCTGCTGTGTGTCTCTGTGAGCGCCACTCCTCTAGGTGGACCCTGACACAACTTGTCCCGCTGTGCCTGCCTAGTCTCACTGAGCAGCCTGTGCTCACGGGTCCTCCCCATGGGCACACGGGTCTGAATGTCCTCCCTATCCCTATGACTACCCACCGCTGCCGCTCGCTGTATCCCTTCATAGTGGGTGGGACTGGGGGAGCCCGGAGCAGCAGGAGCACCGAGCCGCCTGCATGTAACACAGTCCTCACTCCCTAGGTGTCATTCTATTTTATTTGTTAAAAAGATTTATTTGAAAGGCAGAGTGATAGAGGAGAGAGGGAGAGAGAGAGAGAGAATCTTCCATCCACTGGTTCACTCCCCAAATGGCTGCAGTGGCCAGAGCTGGGCCAATCTGAAGCCAGGAGCCGGAGCTTCTTCTGGATCTCCCACGTGGGTGCAGGGGCCCAAGCCCTTGGGTCATCTTCCTGTGCCTTCTCAGTGCATTAGCAGTGAGATGGATCAGAAGTGGAGCAGCAAGGATTTGAACTGGCACCCGTATGGGATGCCGGTACTGCAGGTGGCAGCTTAAGCTGCTATGCCATAATGCTGACCCCTATGTTTAATTTTCAAAAATATTTATTTGTTCATTTTGAAAGGCAGAGTTACATAGAGGCAGAGTCAGGGAGAGAGAGAGAGACAGAGAGAGAGAGAGAGGTCAGTCTTCCACTTGCTGGTTCACTCTCCAAATAGCCACAACAGCCAGAGCTGGCTCGATCCAAAGCCAGTAGCCAAAGGCTTCTTCCGGGTCTCCCACTTGGGTGCAGGGGCCCAAGGACTTGGGCCATCTTCTCCTGCTTTCCCAGGCCATAGCCGAGAGCTGGATTGGAAGTGGAGCAGCCATGGCTCGAACTGGCGCCCATATGGGATGCTGGCGCTGCAGGCGGCGGCTTTACCCGCCACGCCATGGGGGGCCAGCTTTATAATGTCTGAGTGTTGTAGATACTTACACGTCTCAAAGAGCGGACCCGGTGGGCGTTGTGCTGCAGTGGGTTGTCTGCTTCTGATGCCGTTAGCCCATATCTGAATGCTCATTCGAGTCCCGGCTGCTCCACTTCTGATCCAGCTCCCGGCTAATGCACCTGGGAAAGCAGTAGAAGATGGCCCAGTGCTTGGGCCCCTGCACCCGCAGGGGGAGACCCGCATGGAGTTCCTGGCTCCTGGCTTCAGCCTGGCCCAGCCCTGGGTGTTGTGGCCATCTGGGGAGTGAACCAGTGGATGAAAGATTCATGTCTCATCACTCTGCCTTCAAATCAATCAATCAATTAACTAATAGTTTTTATAAACCAGAAAAAAGCAGCGGCGGCGGCGGCGGCAGCAGCGGCGGGCTCCTCACTGCCTGCAGCGCTGCCTTCCCCGCCGTCAGCGCTGCCCAGGCGCAGGCTGCTCTCTGTCCCCTGTGTCCTCTCCTCTGCCTGGGCGCGGTCTCCTGGGGCTCCTGGGGCTCGCAGCCCAGCCCTCCTCAGCGGTCTTTGTTTTCCAGAAGCAGCTTTGTTGAGATGGAGCTCCCACGCCAGGCAGGTCAGCCGTGAGCATTCAGCGGCACTGCCGGCATCCCAGCACGGCCACGCCCCCACGCCGGCCCCTGGCGTGCGCGCCTCTGCGGCGTCTGCTCCGCACGTTTGCTCATGTAAATGGCAGCGTACACGGTGTGGCCTTTCGTGTCTGGCTCCGTTCACTGAGCATAATGTTTTCAAGGTCCGTCCATGTTTTCGCATGGACCGGTGCTGCCTTCCCTTTACAGCAAATTCTTTTATTATTTTGAAAAGGTTTATTTTTTTTTTTAAGGCACAGTGACAGGGAGAGAAGGAGAGACAGAGGGACACACACACACACACACACACACACCCCTTCTATCTGCTGGCTCAGTCCCCAAATGGCTGCAATAGCTGGGGTGAGCCAGACTGAAGCCAAGAGGCTGAAATTCCATCCGGGTCTCCCACATGGGTGGCAGGGACCCAAGCACTTGGGCCATCACCTACTGCCTCCCAGGTGCATCAGCAGGGAGCTGGATCAGAAGTGGAAGAGCGATCTCTCTCTCTCTCTCTCTCTCTTATAAATAATAAATCACTCTGTACTTGAAAGGCAGAGAGAGACAGGGAGCGCTAGAGATAAATATCTTCCATCTAGTGGTTCCCTCCAAATACCTGCAACAGCCAGAGCTGAGCCAGATCAGAGCCGAGGAGCCAGGAGCTGCATCAGGGTCTCCCAAGTGTGTGGCAGGGGCCCAAGCACTTGAACCACCACCTGCTGTTCCCAGGTTGAGCATTAGTGTGCCACGTGCCTGCTGCATTCTTTTTTTTTTTTTTAAAGATTAATTAATTTATTTGAAAGTCAGAGTTACACAGGGAGAGGAGGGGGAGGGAGGAAGAGAGAGAGAGAGAGGTCTTCCATCCCCTGGTTCATTCCCCAGTTGGCCGCAATGGCCAGAGCTGCGCCGATCCAAAGCCAGGAGCCAGGTACCAGGAGCTTCTTCCAGGTCTCCCACATGGGTGCAGGGGCCCAAGGCCTTGGGCCATCTTCCACTGCTTTCCCAGGCCACAGCAGAGAGCTGGATCGGAAGTGGAGCAGCCGGGACTTGAACTGGGGCCCACATGGGTTGCCGGCGCCTCAGGTGGCAGCTTTACCTGCCACGCCACATCGCCAGCCCCTGCCCCATTCCTTTGCATGGCCGAATGCGATCCCATTGCACATGCTTCTGCATTCGTCAGTTGGGGGCTGTGTGGCTTGTTCGTACCTGTGGGCTGTCAGGAGGAACGCTGCCGTGAACGTTTGCCGCCAAGTCTTGGTACGGACATGCGTGTTCAGTTCCCTAGGGAGATACCTAGCCATGGGGCAGGGCAGTTCCCTCCAGCCCAGGCGCGGCCCTCAGCCCCCTGCACACTGCCCCCTGCAGGTGGCTGAGATCCAGGTGGAGCTGGAGCTGAGGGACGAGCTTCTGCCCCGAGCCCAGAATATTCAGAACCGCCTGGACCGGCAGGCGGTCGAGACTGAGGAGGTACGGCGGCCTGGCTCAGGGAGGGGCCGGGGAGCGGCAGCCGGCTGCGGGGCCGCCTCTTCCCGCGTCTGCTGAGTCGGGCTTCCTGTCGCCTCCCCAGGTGAACAAGACGTTGAAGGCGACACTGCAGGCACTGCTGGAGGTGGTGGCGTCAGATGACGGGGACACGCTGGACTCCTTCCAGGCCAGCCCCTCCACCGAGTCCCTCAAGTCCACCAGCTCCGACCCCGGCGCTCGGCAGCTGGGCCGGAGGCGGGGCCAGCAGCAGGAGACGGAGAGCTTCTACATCGCGGTGGGGGGCTGCCTGGGAGGGCAGGACGGAGTGGGGGCGGGGGCGGTGCGCGAGGTGCTGGGCGGGGCTAAAGCTGTGACTTCTCGGGCTTCCCAGAAACTCCAGGAGTACCTGAGCGGGCGGAGTGTCCTCGCCAAGCTGCAGGCCAAGCATGAGAAGCTACAGGAGGCCATCCAGCGAGGTGCGCCTGCTCCCCCTCCTCCTGGCCCCTCTGCAGCCCTTGGCGCTGCTCTTCCCTAAGCCCTCAGGCCGTGCCTGTCTCTCTGGGGTGCACCTAAGGCCCCAGGCTTCTACAGACCGCTGTCTCTTCCCCACAGGTGCCAAGGAGCAGGCGATGTCTCGGTGAGTGCTTCCAGAGGCCCAGGCTCTGCTGCCTGTTCCTCCCGGCCTAGGTGTCCACTCGCCCAGTGGCTTCGGACACCACTAGAGAGGTCCAGGGCTGTTCGGCTGGGCTGGGAGGTGGGGCATCCTCTTCTGTGTGCCCACTCTCCTCCGGTCCGTCTTCCATCCACTACAGAACCCAATACACGCAGAGAAAGTTCCAGAAGAGCCGCCAGCCTCGCCCCAGTTCCCAGTATAACCACAGACTCTTTGGGGGAGACATGCAGAAGTTTATCCAGGTACTGGCTTGGCCTGGGACTTGCACCTTCAGCTCTTTCTCCAGCCCTGGGCCACCTCTGTGGCGGGCGCGGCTGCCTGAGTCCAGCATCCCGTGTTCCTAACCTTCCCTGAGTTTGATCGCATTTTGTGTTCCAGCAGCAAACAATTTGCCAATAAACTGTAAGTCACTACCCAAAATAGCATCAGCACTACCAGGCACCTAGGAGGGGCTCTAACACACTGCAGGGCTGGACACGCTTTGCCGGTGGTGAAGCCAATGCCCTCTCTGTCCCCAGAGCTCAGGCCAGCCCGTGCCCCTGGTGGTGGAGAGCTGTATCCGCTTCATTAACCTCAACGGTAAGAGCAGCTGCTCCGGCACCTGCCCCTCACACCTGGCACCTGGTGCAGGGGCGGGGCCGACCCTGGAGGCAGTTGGGAGGGGACTGGGTGGCGCTCACCAGCTCCTCCCCCTCCCGCAGGCCTGCAGCACGAGGGCATCTTCCGGGTGTCGGGTGCCCAGCCCCGGGTCTCAGAGATCCGTGATGCCTTCGAGAGAGGTGGGGACAGGCGGGTTGGGTGGGAGTGGAGGCGGGGGCGGAGCAGGCGTGCTTGGGCTCAGCCGAGAGTGGCCGCCTGCAGGGGAGGACCCGCTGGTGGAAGGCTGCACAATGCACGACCTGGACTCCGTGGCTGGGGTGCTAAAGCTCTACTTCCGGAGCCTGGAGCCCCCCCTCTTCCCTCTGGACTTGTTTCACGAGCTTCTGGCTTCTGCAGGTGAGGCCGGGGCCTGAGGCCGGCTGGGTGGGGGGCTGCTCCCCAGTGGCTGCGGCCCTACTCACGTGGCTGTCTTCGGTGGTGGGGGGCGGGGGTGGTGTGTGTGTGTCCCTGGCTCGCAGAGCTGGAGGCCGTGGCCGAGCGAGTGGAGTCCGTGAGCCACCTGCTGGCCAAGCTGCCGGCGTCGGTGCTCGTGGTGCTGCGCTACCTCTTCAGCTTCCTCAACCAGTGAGTGTCCCTGGGGGCCAGGCGAGCTGCCGGTGCGGCTGCAGGGGACGCTGCCCGGAGCTCTTCGCCTGTGACCCACGTGTCCCCCGCCCCGCCCCAGCCTGGCCCAGTACAGCGACGAGAACATGATGGACCCCTACAACCTGGCCGTGTGCTTCGGGCCCACGCTGCTGCCCGTACCTGCGGGCCAGGACCCTGTGGCCTTGCAGGGCCGCCTCAACCAGCTGGTGCAGACCCTCATCGTGCAGCCGTCCAAGGTGTTCCCGCCCGCAACCGTGCTGCCGGGCCCCGTGTACGAGAAGTGCATGGCGCCGCCGTCCGCCAGCTGCCTGGGGTATGCCCTTGACCCTGCCCGTGGCGGGGGTGGGGGAGCGGAGGCAGGGAGCCCGCCTCACCTGCCTCCCTCTGCTCCCAACCCTAGGGACGTGCAGCTGGAGGGCCTGGCAGGGGAGAACGAGCCAGAGGAGGGTGAGGGACTGGCAGGCACGCCCCCCTCCGTCCCCGCCCCGGGGGCCTCCCTGGCGCCACCCTCGGACCCGGGGGCCGTCACGGAGGCTGTGGCCTGCTTCGCCTACACGGGCCGCACGGCACACGAGCTCACGTTCCAGCGCGGGGACGTGCTGCGGCTGCACACGCGGGCCTCGCCTGACTGGTGGCGGGGTGAGCTGGGCGGCGTGCGGGGCCTCATTCCACACAAGTACATCACGCTGCCCGCGGGGTGAGTGAGCTGTGCCCCTGGCCGGGGGTTCTGGAGGTCCAGGCAGAGCCCGAGAATCGCCATTTCTGACCACCAAAGGCAGCAGACGTGGGGGCCAAAGGCTGCCCCCACAGAGCCAGGCCGGAAGTGGCTGGGCTCAGGCATCAGCTGCAAGGGGCTGGGAGGCGTTTTCAGATGAGGGACATGGAAAAAGGGCCAGGGCCGAATGCGGCCCTAGAGGAGCCTGGGGGTGGGGGAACCCACAGGGGCCCACCTCTTTGCCTTGGCCACCCCGGGATGGGAGAAGCCACTGCTGGTTTAGCTCGGGGACTTCCTGGGCCCTCACCAGGCTTACTGTCTGTGCCCTGCAGGCCAGAACCAGGCACCCCACCGGAGACTGTGGGCCCATCTGGGCGCAGACGACACTGCTTGCTCCCCACGTCCCCGGAGCGGCCAGTGGAGGTGGACAAGGTGAGAGCTGGGACAGGCTGTGTGGCACGTGGCAGGCCGTCTCCCGGGGTCAGGGTCTCTGCTCCCCCTCGTGACCCTAACTCCTCCCCTCTGAGGTTCCCATCTCCACCCTCGTAGTCCTCCAGACAAGGGGGCAGGCGGGCGAGGTGGTCAGGGTATGTGTGTGTGTGTGTGTGTGTGTGTGTGTGCGCGCGCGCGTGTGGTGGAGGTGGGGTAGGAAACACAAGGCCCTCGGCCTGGCTGGGACGCGGGGCACACACATTGTGGCGGGGGGAGGCACAGGGTTGGGCCCAGGCTGTCGTGACGGTCGCGAACAACGGGTTCTGGGCAGACTTGAAGGCTGGCATCGAGAGCCGAGCTAGGTGACAGGCAGTGACGCGGCAGGTGCTGGGCACACCAGGGAGGAGGAGGAGGACAGATGGCAGGGAGGCAGGAGGCAGGAAGGGGTGGCTGGGGAGCCGGGTGGGGCGGCAGCAGCTCTCGCAGGAGCAGAGCTGCCGGCAGCCCCAGCAAGGGGCACAGCCTGGCGAGGCCGCACGCCCTGCCCTGCACGGAGGGTCCTGCGAACACGACGCGCCGAACAGGGAGGCCATGAAGACGGTGGGGACATTCGGGGGCAGAGGCCAGGTGTGCGGGGTGGGGGCAGCCGGGAAACCCCAGGGGGCACTGACCTTGCAGTTCCCAGTGTGCTGGCGGCTCCCACAGCTAGAGGTTGAAGACTTGCAGTCTGAGCCAGCGAGAGAGAGAGAGAGAGAGAGAGAGAGAGAGAAGGAGCTGGGGGCTCAGCCCTGGGGACCCCTCCTTCAGGGGAACTGCTGTCCCTGCAGGAGGCTGTGGCAGCAGGGACTTGGGTTCAGGGGTTCAGGGCGGGAAGCCCTGGGTGCAGGCGTGCGCAGGGGAGGGACGGGGGTGGGGGCTTCCTGCCTGCCGCAGCGGGGCCCTGGCCGGACGCCCCTCTCCATCTTTCTTCTCCACCAGGCTGTGGCACAGCACATGGAGTCTGTGTTTCAGGAGCTCTTGGGAAAGACGGCGGCGGCCACCTTGTCCGGCCCTGGCGCCCGCAGCCCAAAGCCAGTGGCCTGCAGCCGCCTAGGCAGGAGCAAAGGCTTCTCCCGTGGCCCCGGGGCTGCGACGGCCTCCTCAGAGTCCCATCCCCAGGGCCCGGACTCCATCTTCAAGCCGCACTGAGCTGTTGTGGCAGAGCTGCTGGCCAGGCTCCTTTACAGGCCCCGCCCTGTCCCAGAAGGCCACTGGCGAAGCTGGCCAGCCTGCGCAGGCTCATGGCTTTCCGGCAGCCCTCGCTTAGGCGCCTGCGGGAGGCAGCTGAGCCAGGAGGCTGGGCCCGCCTCTCTGTGGCTCTGCCGGGGGTGGAGTGGGGGCGCTCATCAGCCTCTCCCTCAGCTGCGGGTGGACATTGGCGGTGATTCATAAAGACCTGTGCGTGGACTCCCTGGTGTGGGCCAGCTCTGTCCCGGGGGGCTGGGCAGGCGGGTGCAGGTTGGATGCCTGCAGCGGCTTGGAGGGCATCCCCCAGCATGCAGCTGTCTATCCAGGGGCTACGTTGATTGGAACCTGTACGTTTTTTTTTAAATATATTTATTTGAAACCGAGAGGGAGAGGAGGGGGAGGGAGAGGGAGAGGAATCTTCCATCTGCAAGTTCACTCCCCAGATGGCTGCAACAGCCAGGGCTGGGCCAGGCTGAGGCCAGGAGCCGGCAAGTCCATCCAGGCTTCCGACACAGGTGCAGGGGCCACGCATCCGGGCATCCTCCGCTGCTTTCCCAGGTGCATGGGCAGGGAGCTGCTTCAGCATCGGAGGAGCGGGACTCGAGCCACTGCCCTGATGGGAAGCCGGCATCGCAAGCGGTGGCATAGCCCGCTGTGTCACAACACGGGCCCCTCCCCTGTGCCTTTAAAGGCTTGGCTGCCAGCCTCGTGGGCTGCAGAGCCGTGCACGTGTCTGTGGGCGTGAGGAGCTCCGTGGAGGTCTGTGCAATGCCTGCGCATCCACAGAGTTCCTTCTCCAAGGAGAACCCTCGCTGCATGGAAATGAGCTGCAGTTATTACTGGCGACCCAGTGGGAAGGGAGAGGTCAGAGACGCAGAGACAGGAAGCACCCTGGGGAGCACCTGCCCGGGTGGAAGGTTGCCTACTGCCCCCCCCCACACACACACCATGGCCCTCTACTGCACTCTCCCGTCATGCCAGGCACAGAGGAGCTGCCTCGGGGGTCACTCACGGTTTTGGAGCCCAAGGATGTCCTTGGACAACGGGGGCCGGGGAGCCCCAGAGGGGCAGAGCTTGCCCAGGGCCTCACGGTGTGGCACAGCAAACCGCAGGCTCTGGCCGCTGCTGCACGGGCCCCTCTCCCCCAGCAGTTCCCAGGGCCGGCCCGGGCAGGCGGGCGGCTGAGCGCTCAGGACGCCGTGTCCCTGGCCAGCGAGGAGTTGGCGGTGGCGCAGGACTCGTCTTGGGGCCCCAGGCTGCGCAGAGTGTGCCTCCGAGCACAGCAGAGCCAGCTGCGCAGCTCCGACGAGACACTGCTGCTGAAGGAGGCGTAGATCCAGGGGTTGGTGCAGCTGTTGAGGCTGGCCAGCAACATGAGCAGCACGAAGGGGGGACCTGCGGGGTGCAGGAGGCCAGGCTGAGGCTCGGGGTGGCCGGGCGGGGCTGTGCTCCTAATGCCCGCGAGGGAGGGGCGCTCCGCGTGAGCACGCAGCTGGGGGAGGGAGTGGAGGAGCGAGTGTGTGTGTGTGTGTGTGTGTGTGTGCCGCCAAGCCTGAGGACCGCCCCCCTTGGCCCTGGCCAAAGCCGCACCCACCTTCCCGAGGCGCCTCCGGGTCCCACACAGACCACAGCTGAACAAGGAAGAAGGGTGCCCAGCACAACACGTAGACAATGACAATCACAAGCGTCATCCTCACGGTCTTGGCCACGGCTGCCGACACCCGGGCTCCCTCGCTGGGCCCACCTGTCCGGCGCCCTCCACGGCGGCCCCCCGCCCTCTCGGATGGCCCTGGCACCAGACTGGCGTGAATCTCTCGGAAGATGAGCACCTGACAGGCGGCGATACCCAGGGCGGGTGCCACAAACACCATCAGGGCGATCCAGGTAACATAGGCACGAAGGCCCCAGGGCTCCACAAACTGGGCCCAGCAGTCAAACACCCCGCTGCCGTCTCCCACGTCGCGCTGGGCGAAGATGAAGAGCTGGGGCAGGCTGAGGAGCAGGGAGAAGGCCCAGGCCACCAGCACTGGCCGGTTCCAGTGTGCCCCCCCTCCATGGCGGTATGCCAGCATGGGGCGGCAGATGGCACGGTGGCGGTCCAGCGTCATGGCCAGGATCATGTAGGAGGAGGCATACATGCCCACCATCTGCAGGTACTTGACGGCCCGACATAAGGCATCGGGCCCGTGGAAGCGGTCGGTAGCATCCCAGGCCAACTGGGGCAGCACTTGGAACAGTGCCACGGCCAGGTCAGCCAGGCACAAGTGGCCGATGAAGACGTGCATGGGCGCCCAGCGGCCCCGCCGGCCCCGCCGTGCCAGGGCCCCCAGCACCAGGCCGTTGCTCAGGGCCACGGCCACGAAGACGGTGGAGAGCAGGGCCAGTTCTGCGCGGACTAGCACCGGGTTCCGGGCGCCCACCGGCTCCTTCTGGCTGCCGTTGCCGGGCGGGCTGGGTGGAGAGAGGGGCCTGGGTGCAGCTGGGGGGGGGAGCACTGAATCAGGCAGCGGCTGTGCACTGGGACTCAAGGCCAAGCAGGGTCCCACCCGGTGCCTCCCCCTTCCCACGCTCCCCTACTCTACGGAAGCCGCGTCTGTGCCCCAGGCTCCTGGGGCCGGGAAGGACAGGGCAGCCTCAGCCCAGCCCCAGCCCGGGAGTGCTGGGTAGAGTCTGCCAGGCCCCCCCGGGGCGGGGGGGAGGAGGGTGAGGAAGGTCTCAGAACAAGGGCTGCTTCCCTCCATCAAACCCACTCAGCCACCGGGCTCAGCACAGCCGGGTCAGCAGGGCCCAGTGGCTGGAACGCTACCTGAAGCGGTGGACGCCATGAGCACGATGGGCCGCGGCAGGTGTCCTGAGTGCCTGCGGGAGACGGGCCAGCTCAGCCTCCACCCAGGGGCCAGCCCCCCGCCTGCCGGGGCTCTGGACCGCAGCTGGTGGGAGGCTCGGGGCAGTGCTTGCTGGGCCGGCGTGTGCGCAGGGAGGGTAGAGGGGCAGTGAGACAGACAGGTGCCCAGGCCAGCAGGCCAGCCAGCCAGACTTGGGGTAGGCACCCGAGGCAGCCGCATAGACCCCTGCTCTGACGACTGAGAACTGGGCGGGAGGGGCTGGCCGGACCCCCGAGGCCCCTTGGAAGCCCCTTACCTGGCTGGGCTCTTGGGCTCCCCGGGCAGCTGGGCGGAGGCGTGAAGGTGCTTCCAGCTCCGATCTGCTCTCCATCGCCGCCCCGCCCCGAGCCAGCCTCCCAGTGACCTGCCCAGGCAAGGACTTCCTCCCCTGCCCCTCCCCCACACCCCTCCCTGGCCTCTCTCCGCAGGCAGCAGGTTCCCAGCCTCCTCCATCTGCCTTCCTGCCCCTGGCCTCTGTGGTCTGCATCCAGGCCTCGTGCCCTGCGACTGCCACCCCCAGCCCTCGGGGCCTGCCTTCCTAGAACATCTCTCCTTTATAAGTGGGGAAACTGAGGCCAGGCATGGCCTGGAGAAGCTGCGCCTTTGGTCCCCCTTATGGTGGCGGTGAGGAAGGGGTAAAAGGACAGACAGTTCCAGCACCCTGAGGACAGCCCCTCCTACGCCCCTCCTTCTCCTCCTCAATTAGGACCCAGCGGAGATGAGGGGCAGGAAGTGAGGTGGGGGAGTGGGGGGAGGCAGGCCAGGCTTAAAGCGCCCCTGTGCAAGCCGGCTTCCTCCCCAGGGGCTGGTGTGTGGATGATGCCAGACACCCACACCCTCTTCCTCCTCCGCGCGCTGCCCTGGCCGGATCTCCCCCAGGAGGAGAGGCCTTCCGACCTTCGGGCACTCCTTTGCTCTCTCTCTCTCACACACACGTGCACTTACGGGCGTGCGCACACCCATCCACCCACACACATGCGCACGCGCGCACATGAACGCTTCCTGCTAGGATGCCCACACCCTGTGTTCCCTGTGCCTGTTCCGTGTGGCGGGACCAAGAGGGACGTTTCCTGACCAGGGCCTTGGGGCCGCCCTTCCACCCTCCCCCCTTTCTCCCCTCCCACCCCCCCTCCCCCTCAGCCCCTGAAGCCCAGACCCGGCGCCTTCCTTCCTGTTTGTCCTCTGTTGAGCTGCAAGGCTGGAGGTGCAAGCACGTGCCACACAACGCACTCACACACTGCACCTGCGTGCGCGGGGCACGGTTCCTGCAGCCCCCTTGGCGAGTGGGTTGCAGAAGGCTGGCACCCCAAGCCTGCACACTGGAGCCCAGCGTTCTCTCTGCAGCTAGCCCAGACACAGGGCTCCAGGAAAAGCCACTGGGGAAATGTCTCACCTACCTAGCACTTCATTTCTTCCTTCCCTTGGGTGCTGGCCTGGTGTGGCCTCTGGGGATCTGGTATCAAGGACACCAATTTTCTTGTCACACGATGACACCTCTTAGTTGGCATAGAAGGCTCCTGGACTGGGAGCAGGACAAAGCAAGACTCAAGTCCTCGCCTTGCTGCTGCCTAGGGCGTTCACAGGCAATACCTGAAAAGTGTTCCCTTCATGTGCTGGACAAAGAAGATGGGCCGGTGCCATCGCACAGCAGGTTGGACTGCTGCCTGCCAAGCCGGCATGCCTTATGGGCGCCGGTTCGAATCTCAGTGCTCCCTGCTGTGGCCTGGGAAAGCAGTGCGAGATGGCCAAGTGCTTGGGCCCCTGCACCCACGTGGGAGACCCAGATGGAGTTCCAGGCTCCTGGCAGCCATTTGGAGAGTGAACCAGCGGATGGATGATCTCCTCTTCCTCTCTCTCTACTTTGCCTTTCAAATAAATAAATAAATCTTAGAGAGAGAGAGAGAGAGAGAGAGAGAGAGAGAGAGAGAGGCAGAGAGAGAGAGAGAGAAAGAGAGAGGGAGGAGCCAGCCAAGGACTCCATAGAAGCAGTGATGGAGAAGCTTGGAGAAGAGGGACAGGTGCGCAGGGGGCAAGGCCACACCCCAACAGGTGCTAACATGAGTGGAGGGTATACTGCCTAGGAAGTCGCCAAATGACAGCGCGGGATCTGTAATGTTCTTTTTTTTTTAAAGTTTTTTTTTAAAGATTTATTTTTATTTATTTGAGAGGCACAGTTACAGACAGAAAGGTCTTCCATCTGGTGGTTCACTCCCCAGATGGCCGCAACGGCTGGAGCTGGGCCGATCTGAAGCCAGGAGCCACAAACTTCCTCTGGGTCTCTCATGCGGGTGCAGGGGCCCAAGGACTTGGACCATCTTCCACTGCTTTCCCAGAGCTGGATTGGAAGTGGAGCAGCCAGGACTTGAACTGGCACCCTTAGGGGATGCTGGCACTGCAGGCCAGGGCTTTAACCGGCTGTGCTACAACACTGGCCCCTCTAAGTTTCTCTTTAAGTAATGTCTTTGCCTTGGGCCAGTTGAAGAGTTGAAGGCTGAGCCCCCAGATGGCCTCAAGGTCATCCTTTGAGGGCCAGGCAGCCCGAGAGGAGGGGTGCTTTTGGCGAGACGTTTCCCTGCACAGGGACAGCTGGTGGCAGTTCCTGTCGGGAGCTCTTCTAGTCCTTGCTGCTGCCTCCCTCGGTCCTGAGCTCAGGCGGCGGCATACATAGGCAGTGATTGTAGGGGTGGGTCTTAGGTGCATGGCTTACAGTCGCATCGGGACTTCTGCATCCCCGATCCGAGCACCGAGGTTCGAGTCTTGGTTCTCCTCCTGGTTGCGGCTTTCTGCTAAGGTGCACCTGCAGAGACAGCAGGTGAAGGCTTAGGCAGTTGGCTCCTTGCCGCTAGCTTGGGAGACTTGCATTGAGTTCCTGGCTCTTGGCTTCAGCCTGGCCTAGCTCTAGCAGATGGGAGATTTCTGTCTGTCTGTCTGTCTCTGTCTCCACCTTTGAAATAAATAAAAATCAGCTTTATTATGGTCTGACTAGCGTACAATAAAATTTACTAATTTTAATTGTGCAGTTTGGTAAGATTTCACAAATGTCTACAGTTGTGTAACCCCCATCAACATCATGATATAGAACAGACATTTGCATTGTTCCACAGTGTTCCCCCATGATTCTTTGCACTCAACCTCTCTTGGCCCTGGCAACCAGTGATCCATCACTGTAGACTTGCCCTTTCTTGAGTTTTACATAAATGAGATGGACTTGGCGTCTGGTTGCCTTGGCGCCTTGCAGGTTTATCTGTGCCATGCGCGGCACTTTGTTCCCATTGAGCGCTGAGCTGTGGCATGGGGGAGGCACCATGACCGCTGTTAGGTCGTTGTTCAGAGGCTGTGGCTACTCTGAACGCCTGAGTACAAGCTTTGATTGGTGAAACGTATTTATTTCACTCATCTGAAAGAGAGACAGAGACGGACAGAAATCCCTCATCCACTGGTCCACTTCCCAAATGCCCACAAAGACCAAGATGGGTCTGGGGCTGAGGCCAGGAGCGCATCCACGTTTTCCCCATGGGCGGCAGGGACCCAAGGACTTGAACCGTGACTGCTGCTTCCCAGGGCCTGCGTTTTCAGGAGCTCGCGTGGGGACTGGTGCTGTGGCGGGTAAAATCTTTAGGGGAAAAAAGTGAAGATGGGATTCGACCCCAGGCACTTCAATATGTCATGTGAGCGCCTCTCTCTCTCTCTCTCCTCTCTCTCCCTCTCTCTCTCTCTCTCTCTTTCTTTCTTTCGGGAAAGATTTCATTTATTTATTTATTTATTATTATTTATAGATTACTGGGACGAGAGAGAGAGAGAGGATAGCTTCCGTCTGCTGGTTCCTTCTCCAGATGACCATCCAGGTCTCCCACATGGGTGCAGGGGTCCAAGCCCTGGGGCCATGTTCTGCTGCTTGCCCAGGCGCATTAACAGGAAGCTACATCAGAAACAGATTGGGGCCAGTGCTATGGTGTAGACGGTAAAGTTGCTGCCTGCAGTGCTGGCATCCCCTATGGGCACTGGTTCGAGTCACGGCTGCTCCACTTCCAATCTAGCTCTCTGCTATGGCCTGGGAAAGCAGTGTAAGATGGCCCAAGTCCTTGGGCACCTGCACCCACGTGAGAGACCCAGAAGAAGCTCCTGACTCCTGGCTTTGGATTGGTGCAGCTCACTCGCTCTCTCTCTCTCTCCCGCTGCCTTTCTGTAACTCTGCCTTTCAAATAAATACATGAATAAATAAATTTTTTTTTAAAAGAAGCAGATCAGTGCCACTAGGCCCGCCCCTGGATGTGAGCACCTTAATATCTGCACCAAACGTCCAGGACAACATGTTTGACTTTTGTTTGTTTGTTTGTTTTTTCGTTGTTGTTTTTTGACAGGCAGAGTGGACAGTGAGAGAGAGAGAGAGAGAGACAGAGAGAAAGGTCTTCCTTTGCCATTGGTTCACCCCTCAGTGGCCGCTGTGGCCACTGGCGCACCACGCTGATCCGAAGGCAGGAGCAGGTGCTTCTCCTGGTCTCCCATGGGGTGCAGGGCCCAAGCACTTGGGCCATCCTCCACTGCACTCCCTGGCCACAGCAGAGAGCTGGCCTGGAAGAGGGGCAACTGGGACAGAATCCGGCGCCCCGACCGGAACTAGAACCCGGTGTGCCGGCACCGCAAGGCGGAGGATTAGCCTAGTGAGCCGCGGCGCCGGCCACATGTTTGACTTTTTCCAAATACTTACCAGAAGGGTTACTGACTCACATGATAAACATTAGATTTAAGTTTATCAGAAATTCCTGCATTGTTTTCAAGACTTGTTGTACGCTTTTAGATTCCTGCTAGCACTATCTGAGATTTCTAGTTCTGCATCTTGGCCAGGTTTAGATATTATCAGTGTTTACATTTTTAGCCTCTTTAATTTTTAAAAAAATTTATTTATTTATTTTTAAAGATTTATTTATTTATTTGAAAGGCAGAGTTACAGAGAGGCAGAGGCAGAGAGAGAGAGAGAGAGAGAGAGAGGTGTCTTCCATCTGCTGGTCCACTCCCCAGATGGTCGCAATGGCTGGAGCTGTGCCGATCCGAAGCCAGGAGCTTCTTCCGGTTCTCCCACTTGAGTGCAGGGGCCCAAGGAGTTGGGCCATCTTCTACTGCTTTCCCAGGCCACAGCAGAGAGCTGGATGGGAAGTGGAGCAGCTGGGACTAGGACCAGTGCTGATATGGGATGCCGGCACTGCAGCCAGTGGCTTTACCTACTACGCCACAGTGCTGAACCTCCAAATTTATTTATTTATTTATTTATTTATTTGAGTCAGGATAAAGCTGCCAACTGCCACCCAGCCACCCAGCTCTGGTTGTTGCGGCCATTTGGGGAATGAACCAGTGGATGGAAGACCTCTCTCTCTCTGACTTTCAATAAATACATCTTTTTAAAAAAATTTTAAAAACTATTTATTTGAAAGAGAGAGAGGAAGAGAGAGAAGGAGAGACCTTCCACCCACTGGTTGGCTCCTCTAATGCCCTCAACAGTTGGGGCTGGGTCAGGCCAAAGCAGGAGCCCAGAACCCCATCCGGGTCTCCCATGTGAGTGGCACTTGAACCATCGTCCACTGCCTTCCCTGATGTGTTAGCAGGGAGCTGGAAGGCAAGTGCAGAATTTCTGGAACGCGAACAGGCACTGTGATATGGGATGTAGGTGTCCCAAGTGGTGGCCCAGCCAGCTG